ATCCAATGTACTCTTACTTGAAGCAGTTTGAAACATGTGTTTATTTTAAACCATCTGCTAATGTTAATCGATACTTAGTCAAAATTGCCACTTGCCTTATAGTGATTAAAAATAATGGAAACTGTTTTGATTTTTGCCGATAAACATTAGAATGACCCCACACAACCTGTTTAAAAGCGCCACTCTACACAACCTGTTTCGTCGTATCAATAACCCCACATGTAAACAAACTCAGACATCACGGTTCTCAGATGTCAAGGTTTGTGAATATCATGCGAAACTTTTTTATGTGAATGGTTTGCCCATTGACGTTGCTAGTTATTTGCCATGAACACTTCCTTACACCCTCTGTTGCATCCCATTTCCAACTTGTCACGAACACCTGATCCGACACAATGCAATGAAATCTAAAAATCTTAATTGTACACTCGATGGTTATCATATATTTAAATATTAAAAATATTAAACACATATTGAAAAACTAAGCAGTCAAATATTTCTATATAATACCAACAAGCAAATTTTATCTCAGAACTTTATGTTCTGCTTCAAAATTGCATTTTGTTGTACGAGATTTTACATTTCGTAATATTTTGGTAAAAATTCTGATGAATGAGGCTGTTGACTCAACTTAAAAGAGTTTTCTGATCTGGATTTAACCAATAAATCGTAAAATTGGTTCTATTTCAGATCATTTTACGCCAGTTTGCCAAATGATTTTCAGAGAAAGTATCACTGTGGGGACTGGAACGAATGACCGCAAAAGCGCGAAAATTTGATGTCGTCATTCAAAAGTAAATCGAAGTAAAATGATAATTGATCGGGAATAAAGATGAATTTTGGAACCATTATTGCATACTCTTTTGTTCAATACTGGACAACATTGGTAACATCAAGTGTTCCGTATTGGAGATATGAATTAGGGTAATTTTCAATTTACTTTTTTAAAGGTGAACCTCCAGCAATGATAGTTTGTGGTATATTCAAAGGTCTCCATCTTACCTATGTAATTTCAAACTACGAATTTGACAAAATTTTTGAAACATTACCTATAAACCCTAAACCCATCAACATTTCCCTGTGAATCGTTAAATAGATTGCAGCTGCTTCATCACCTGAACATAGTTCGAAGGAGAACAGCTAAGCTTGGAAGATGGGGATAGCTATGAAGTTAATTTTTATTACTAGGCTGTTGAGGAGGGGCTAAGGCTCTTCTGCAACGTCAAAATAAACTCTAGCAAGCCTATCGCAGCCTATTGGCATAATAATAAAACTCTTTACAATAAAGCACCTCATAAAGTGAATAAAATAGGCATTTCAGATATTTTTTGGTGAGTGCTTTTAAAGGCAATGACTTCATTATCAAATATGTTTATAATAGAACTCAATTCTCTAAGATAATGTTTTCTTATTTTTGGAATTTTTAGCAGATCATGGCCAAACAGAAGACTCGAAGTGGGAACATGGGTATGGTTCGATGAATAAATGAAACATCTTATAATGCAAATTATCTTTTTGTGTTTTTCTTTATAGCATTATGCAACCACAATAAGCTTATAAAGTTAAGAAGGCTAATTTGAAAGATCATATGTTAGTATCTTATCATTGTGGCCTATTGACAAACAAGCACGAACAAAAGTTACTTTACTTTTTGATTCATCCGATTTTTTTTATTTCTATTTAAACACAATTAATTGCAATAATTTTAGCTCTGTCATTCTTCTCTATTAAATAGATATTATTGGCCTCAAATCAGCATCTAAGGAGCTAACTATCCTTAAGTCTTCTCTGGGCTTTTTACATGAAAAGTAGTCAGTAGACTCTGTTATAAGAACAGGAGCCTTAAAATTGGCCAAAAATTAAGAACAAGCTGAGGCTTAGCGACTATAAAATGACGACTCTTAAAAATTTTATCTCAAAAATCGAGATTTTTTGCCATCTTTGGGTGCTTTTTCGGTGAATTTTCAAACTTGTCTTTAAATTTGAATTCTTTACACCAAAAAACAATCCTTTACAGCCTGTGTACAGATTTTACTCTCCATTGCGAAGGAATCCCCTTTTTATAATTTGTAACTTTTCAGTTCGATATTGAATGTACAAGACAAGAATGGGCCAATGACAAATTAAGTTGGTACTTCGAAGAACCATGGTGTGAAATTTATAACAGCCGGTAAGGTCAGAATTTCAACTTTACTTTGAGTAACTGACAAATTTTTATATATAGGAACATTTCTAGGGATTTTTAGGGATTTTTCAAATGCAGATTAATTCAGTTTAATTATTTACTTTATGTACAAAGTGACGTACTTACTAGTTTTGATCGTTGTTGCTATCCTAGTCTGCAAAGAACTCAAGCAAGGTGCAACATGAACGGTGCATTTGGATTCGGTGTCGTAAATGGAACAAGCGTTAAGGTATGAAACTGAATTTTCTGTGTTATAAAAGCCAGCTCACATTGTATCGTTATGTCAGAATATCTTTCGTTGCTAATGTACAACGTCTAAGGGCCTTCCTCTTCTAGTCGTTTTACTTTACTTTGAGTGACGTCACTTTACTTTGTTATTCAATCAAGTTTGTATTTCACATTACTTCAAAGAATGTCATAAGATCATTTCTCTATCTTTTGCTTTCAAGGATTACAAAATTCTGAAGGTTTATTCCAACAAAAATTACTTTGGATGGCATGCTGTTAGAAAAATAAACAGGTTTTTCTTTGGTAGTTTACGTATTCATAGCTGCAGTTTATGTATTCTTACATTTTTCTCGTGTTTAAAGTTTATAATTTCACATTTAGAGCTCTTTTTCCATTATCATTATCGTTATTATTTTGAGTCATATTAAAGCTTTTGTCTGACACTCTTCAGATGTTTATTAGCGATATTTATGAGTATCCTCTTCACGATTTACCTCTATTTTGGCATGGTTTTAGCGTCTTTATTGCATCTCTATCAGCTGATTATCATTGCCTCGGGCTACCATGTACGATGGGGCCTTTAAACATAATACCTCAGGGGGGGGGGGTATGACCTTTTCGTCCTCATTTCATAAACAATGGCTTGAATCTCCAACTGACGTTAGAAAAATAAGGCTTTACAGGGTTACTTGCAATTTTTCTACAACTTTTTATCTTATTTTAGGAGTGGTGATAACTTGATTATTGATTTACGCCTAAAGATAACCGAGTCAAACGCATATTTCCAAAACAATTCTTCCAATTCATCAGAGGTAAACCAATTACATTTTTTATAATCATGAATCGATATTTATTGTCATTTTGTTAGCACAAGTAAACTATTCTGTTGATGTGGTTCTTTTCAAGTAACCAACATTCGAATCTTTTTTCCTGGCACTGTAAAATGATTGTCGCTGAACTTCTGCAAAATAATCAAAGAAAAACAATATTTTTCGCAATAAGACTTTTTTTTACCTAGCAAGGTGTAAATCAAAATGCCGATTCTAAACGTGGTAAAATTATTTCCCAGGTATAATTTTAATGTTCTGCACACCGTAGATATTTAGCTATTGTTATAAAATAGATCTTTTAGAATTACAAAACTGATCTCCTTCTCTCGCCAACCGATCCCTATTTACTCAAACTTAGTTTTGTTTGTAGATTTTTCCTAAATGGCATTCTTGCTTCGATAAACCTGTTTAAAATTATCGTTTTTCCAATTAAAAAACATCAATCTTGACATGAAGAAAAAAATGTTTGGTGCTATGAAAAATATTTGGCCAATTGCTAAAATCATTTAACGGCAAAAAGTTATTAAGAAAACATAATGTTTATAATAGGACTTACTATGGCAAGATTCTTATTTTTCATCTATCTTTGACAGCTTCCAAATTAACTGACCCACTGTCTTTGAGTATTTTTATCACAGTCTTTTGCAATACCTTTTAGCATTCTATACGGCTTACAAGATTGTTCAACTCCAAAGGAGAAACACCTAAAGTTGAATTCAAACAAAACTTGAAAAGTTCGTTGTTAAGAGAAGTGACAGATATTTCATTCGATCATATAAATGGGTATCAACCTACATTTTGTTTTATATCCTTTTGCATATCATATGCCAGTTTGATGTTGGCATGCTTAAACGCTAAATTCCGTGAAATGACATCAGTTTACTCCCATTTGAGAATATTTTTTCAGATTTTTGTTTAATACCCTCCACCTTCAAATGATAAAATGTTCACCAGTATAACACGTTCTAAATAGAGATTATCCATATTCTAAAGTTTAGAAGATAGACAATAGCTACACCAGATGATCATCTCTGCCATCTGGTGATTTAGAATTTGGACAAATAACCATGTTCTAATCATCTCACACAGTCATAATTCCACACATGTTAGCTGCGGCGCTGTTTTCCCTGGGGCTTTTGAGTTGTCAAGGCGCTTGGCAATTTTTTATAACAAATTACTGAAACATTTCTGACAGCAGAAATTTGGTTGAAAGTTTTGTCGGTAGCCGTTCAAGTTCAAAGCGAAAGGTAAGTTATTTTGCATTCGTTTTTTTATAAATCTACATTCACTTAGTCTTCTGGAACGGTAGACTGCAGTATTTTTTTTCTAGGCCTGATGATAATATGTTTTGAAACGAATTATTGTTTAGGTACAAATTAGGCCTTATCTAATCGTTTTCGAAACTTTTTTGCGTTTGAATTTTCGTTATTTGGCTCCTTTCTAAACCTCTATACACTTTCTTATAGAAAATGAATTCAGGAACAAAAAGGAGCGAAAATTATTGTTTGATGACAGACAACCAAAAACAAATCTTGGTTCAATATTTCAATGATGGCATGAGATCGACTTTGGACACGGAAAAGATAAGCGAAGCATCCAAAGTAGCTGGTTTATCAGTCCAAAGAGTAAAGGTCATTTACGATTATGAGAATATAGGAATAGGATTCTCCAATTCAATACCGAAAGATATTGTAAATGAAAACGTTAACAACGAATAACATTGCTGGTTAAAATGTAAAGAGTGGGCGCCAATTTTAAATTGAGCTCAATTTTCCCTTAATGTACTCGAACATGAAATTAGAGGCAAACGTGCGGTCTTTGGCATTGAAAAGTAACGGCTGCTATTAATATTTTCCCCCATTTCCAATATGACGATATTTATAGCCTAATTATATATCTATGGTTGGAATTGGTCTGACAAAGGCTTATAGTCAAATAGAAGAAACAACAGCCTACATCTCTAGTATTGGCTTCGAGAATCCTTCCCTCATTTCATTGGCTCGGTGAAAATTAACTTTGGTTTTTGATGCAGCAAACTTGAGTTCCATTCCTACCAACAGCAGTAAATGCAATTGGGCAGTACCTTTGTGAAAAAAATTCCCCAAATCAGCCTTCTGATTGTATTTATATATATATATATATAAATGTATTAATTGACTTTTATGTTTATATCACACTGATTGAGGAGGAATCCTGTTTTTTATATAATGCATATATTATTTAGTTTGGTTTGGATATCGTAACTTAGATATCATAAATTTATCTTTTATGCATGTAGAAATGGATTGGGAATCACAAAGCAAAAGAAATTAGAAAGGCAAGTAGGGGAGAAGAAGATCCAGGGGAAGATAATGAGGCGGAAAAGAAAAGATTCAAAGGGGAGAGGAAAATTTCAGCCAGGTCCATGTTCTATCGCAATTTGTCAAGAGAGGGTATTTGTTTGCTTTTATGTGATGTATTATACTAGTTAGATGTAGATGAAATTGGAAATGCAGCCATTTGTATTAGAAACAAGGTCAACATTAAGTACTGAACTGTCTTGAAGTGCTGCCAAAGTTAATTGTTGCTATTGAGCATCTTAGAGACAAATGACGGTTATATATGTTTAAAAATAGCTAAATTGCTGAAACATATTGGTAACCATGAAATTATGGGTTGACGAACAATGCTACTCCATTTGGTTGCAGATCTAAACATGAAAACACCTGTTGAGGTCCTATTGTTTCAAAAATAATTGTTTTGTCATTTGACAAAGAGAACGACACAAAAGATAAACATGCCATTACATGCACAATCTCACAACCGATGCTTGTTGGCCGTTCCTTTTAGCAGAAGTATTTTTTATGCTGGATAATTTTTTATTTTACATAAAATATTCCAGAGTTGGTTATTGAGAATTGTGAGACTTTTGGAGGTTTTTGTTTGATTTGTCTCCAGCTATATTGTCAACAAAATTGATTGAAAATCACAAAATTTTGTATGCCTTTTGATTTTGAGGCCGTTCTTTGTTTTGAAAAATGGTTTCTTTTTTATATATATACTAGGGGAAGATACTTGGTCAAATATTGGGAGCAAGCCTATTGTTTTTATAAGATGACATCATATTTTCCCATTGTTTTAGAGCCAAGGACTATTGTCCTCCAAAATATTGGGGGTGACTGCCTCCCAGGTATCCGCTACCGATATATACATATTCAATTTTTGTTCTTATTTGACTTTTGTGTATCTTGCAAAATATCCCTTTGTTATTTAGGAAGGTTGAAAGGATTCAAGAACAATGCAGAAAGAAACAAGTTTTTTGCAAGAGAATGGGAACTGGCTGACAATGAAATAAAAAAGACAATGGAAGAGGAGGCTGAGAAGTTTAATAGATATGAATTAAATGAAATGAATGAAGAAGAGATGGCTTTTCTAGTGAAACAACACAAGAAAAAACTACTGCATCAGGTTTATAAATTTCATTCGTATGTATTAATGTTCAAACATAGCTTCTTCAATTGAGTTTAAGGTTACGGTAAACGTTTACCGTATGAAAACATCCATTTTTTGATTTCTTCACATTCTAGAACCCGAATTTTCAAGGCACGCAATGGTACCATGTTTGAAACTAACAGAAATTTTAAAAATGGAAAAATCCCATGTAAACGAAGGTTTCCATAATTTCTTTATCAAAACTTTTAGTTGAGGTCGCAAAATCTTTGTATTTGCTCCGGTCCGTCTTTTATAGCCAAATACAACTGCGGGGGTGTTGGAAAATTGATTACCAATTTTGAAAGGTTTTTGTTTCAAAGGAAGGGGGGATTTGAAAAATCTGAGACACAATTTGGTAGCTGAGGATCTGCGCTTTCTGCTAATATAAGTCAGACTTTTTTACCTTAAACGCAAGGGTACAAAATAGCTTCTGAAGGTGGTACACTCATTTAAGCGATAAATGTGCCTGGAAAAATTCATTTTAAGATATTTGCTAATTATTTTGATATGGTTAGAATCACATAATTTTTGTGAATCAAATGATATATAGTTTAATCCGATTCCGTTAATAGTTTGGCTTTAAGAGAGAGAAAGCCAAATATTGTGTCAGAAACGTTTACCGTAACTTTAACCTTGTACTCTCAGTTGGCAGACTACCTGCCTATTCAGTCAAACAATCAGTCAGGAACATACACTTCTTCGACAAAGTTTGGTATTTTTTCTGTTCACGTTTTCACTATATAAAGTATACTAAAATCTATTTGTTGTATGGGCCCCTCAAGTCCCTAGATGGATCATGAAAGAAAGTTGTTGATCTGAATTTGATTTTATGGCTTTCTATGATTTGTCTAGAGTTAGAATGAAAACAAAGATACTGCTCAAAAATCAAATATTTTGATGTATGCAATTTTTGTTTTTTGACATGCTACAGTTTTTCTTCTAAACCAAAATTTTCCACTTGAAATTTTATCTTGTTAAGTAAATGTGTGTATTGATTGGGTAGATTTGGCACATATACTTTGCACACCAAATTCAATTTTTGCGACACCCATTGGTCACGACAAACAGCAAATGGTATAAGCTTAATGTTTGAATATTGTGGTTAATGATTGATTTGAATGATAAATTTGTTTGTTAGATATCTACCCTGGAAAGTCTTGGAGTAGAAATGTCCATCATGTTACTTGATGGGCCTAAACTTGAAAATTTTGGATCAGCTAGAGGCTTGGCTTTCTTGTATGCACACCCATCTCTCAATGCAGATTTTAAAAAGTTTTATGGTAAGAAATACCCTGTGTGCCAGAGCCTCAGAGAGTACCTTTGCCTGTTCTTCATCCCTTGACTCTCTGTGAGGCTGTGGCACCAAGGGTAGGTAAGAAATCGTGCTTTCTAAGATTGTAGCATACTCTCGAGTACCTAATAATCACTCTCCCCACCTTACTAGCTTTTGAAAAATTTTCCACCTACCCCCTTTTAATTCCATTTCCTTTCTATTAGTTAATTAATAGGCGAAATTATTTTGAACATGATAAGCGTAAGCGTAAAACATCTGTCACGTTAACTTACCGAAAAACCTGTCAGAGAATTCATGTCAAAACGCAAGCAGAAATGTAAAAAAGCGCGTTCAACAGAACCCGATATCACGAGTTCCATGCATCAGTAACATAACTAATTTACGCTTTAATGTATAGAGCTGGATGGTTCTAAGTTGTTACTTCGAGTTTCTTCTCACTTAGTCATCAGGCAACTGTTCACGCTTAACATCAAATGATAGGTGTATAACAATGAAACGGAAAACAACAATTTTTCAATTTGCCAACCTCCTCCCCTAATTGTCTAACCCACCCCCATCACCCCTTCGATTATTCTAACCCACGTTTATTCGCTACTCGAGAGTAATAACATTTCTGAAATATTTCATTTTTCATCAAATTTTTAGCTAAAATAGTTATATTTTCATCAAATGTTTTTTAAAATTACTTTTGTTCAATTTGTAATCAAATTTCACATGGCAATATGGCAGAGTTTTGGAACTTACCCTTCACACGGGGGCAATTTGATAATTTCATGTGGTGTATACAGGATTCTAGTAAATTTATTTTGAAATATAGCTGCGTCATAATCCTTGTTCATTTTAGATGTGGGCGATGAGAATGAAAAGAAGACCTATACATACAAGGATTTACAAGCCGTGTTTAACGAAGCTTACGGTAATAACCATTGAATCATAAGATACTAAAGATGTAGTGATAATAAATGTTCATAAGATACTAACCAAGAGAATCCCTTTCAAAACGAATTAAAATTTGATATTACTCTGTCACTCTTTCCAAACGTTTTCACAACCTGAAACTTTTGATTGGCAATTTGTTGATCAAAAAGCATTTTTACCAAAATTACCACAGAATCAGTCTACTAAGCTTTAAAGAATTACCTATCTGGCATTTTTATCCTTTCTTGAAGGTTTCATTGAATATTGAGAAGTCAATTATTTTGTCATCAAAGTTGTTTTTGCTAAACTTTATAAGCCTAATAATGACTTTCTAGTATTGTTAATTTATAGCTGAAGCAGTAAAAATTGACAATGCCAGAGTACCATACTTGAATGGCGCCTTTGAAATAGAAGGACTTCCTGAAGGTATCAACTGGAGAAAAGCAAATGGCAGCATAAAAAAACCGACAGATTATGGTCATGGTCAGATACAAAAGATCATGGAAAATCACAAGAAAATAAAATTTCTTGTAAAAATCAATGAATCACAAGGAGCAGGGATCGGTGTGAAAGACAAGGAAATAGAGATTCCCCCATGTCTTTTGAAGCTCGTGGATGCAGATGTCGCAGAAAGAGCTCTGAATGGTAATGGGAAAATTTCTCAAAACGATCTTAATGTTATTGTCAAGTTACGAGACGAGGAATCAAGACTATTGCTGCAACAGTTTGGCCACTTCTTTGATGAAAGTGCCATAAATAGCCTACTTAGTACTTTGTCCCTTGAAAGAGGGGTTATTCTTCCAATTTACACAAAAAGAAAAGGCAAGTTCTGGCTTTTCTATTATGAAGGGAATATTTCTGAGATTGATAATGCAGAAATGGAGGCATCCATCCCAGGAAAATGGTTAGACAACAAAACTGGAAATAGATACAAACTTTTGCCACAGCCAACCTCAATTAAGAAGTTGAACATAGTTTCCGATAAAGATGGCTTGTTGTTGTTTTTCTGTCATTTCTTTGAGGATGATGATGACATTGTTGAAGTCAAGAGTGACTTTGTGAAAGATGTACAGATGTCTTTAAAAGCGTTATCTGATTAAATTTGTTAGTCTCAAATGATATGTTGAAACATTTTTGTAACCAATTGATCTTACTATTTGTTACCTTATTAATTAATAAATTAATAATTAATAACCTTTTTCAAATGTAATGAATATAAATGTACAGATATTAAAACACAAAACACTAACATTGGTTATTCGTCAAGTCGTTACTGAACATCGAGGAACGAGATCCTAATTGCCTTTGCGTGTGCCAGTTTTTACTAACTTACAACCTTTTAGTAATTCTAGCAGACAATATGTTTTGTTAACATCTGCAAAGCTCAGAAAGACACTTCTTTGTTGATAAAGAAAAAGTCATTTTGACAAGAATTGAAGGAGAAAGGTCCAAGGATTGTCCAATGGTGTACTCCGTTAGCGACTAGCGGCTAGTATGAAAGTAGCCACTAAGATTCACCGTTT